GTGCCTCATGTTGTGGTGCCCCCCAATTTCACTGTTACAAATTGAACATAATTAAAGCATAGTGATTCATCACAAAAACAATATGTAATTATATATGTGTTTTCTGATGGTCTTAGGCGATCCCTGTGAAAGGGTCATTTGACCACCAAAGGGGTCGCGACCCACAGGTTGAGAACCGCTGATCTAGCGCATATACCAGTGTAAAATTTCAGAACTACAAGGACAATGAAAAGATCCTGGGACTCAGCTTCCATTAATATCTGACTAGATAATTCAGAACAATCCTCCAACTAATACAACTAAAGAACAACAACAACAACAACAAAAAATCCTGAAAGCTGCTTACAAGATGCTAAGAAAGTGTCAGCCTAATGCCTGTTAGAGTAAGAACTCAAAAAAATAAAATAAATAAAATAGACAGACAGACAGATAGATAGGTCTAGCCCAGCCGTGGGCAAACTACGGCCCGCGGGCCCATTTGAAATGAATAAAACTAAAAAAAAAAGACCGTACCCTTTTATGTAATGATGTTTACTTTGAATTTATATTAGCTCACACAAACACTCCATCCATGCTTTTGTTCCGGCCCTCCATCCAGTTTAAGAACCCATTGTGGCCCTCGAGTCAAAAAGTTTGCCCATCCCTGGTCTAGATACTCAAAGCCACTGTCCCTACTCCTAGGACACAAGACACAAAGTTGAACAGAATTGTTGGTAGTCTCAGATGGTCTTGGGGGCCAGCAGTCAAACCCTTGAGGCTGGGGTTTGATAAACCACCTCAGAGCTCTGAGCTGGGGGCTGAAGGACTATCCCCCAGAACTGGGAGAGGAGACGGTACTAAATGTCTCACCATCGGACAATATAGGACAGGGGTGGGAACCTTTTTCCTGCAAAGGGCCATTTGGATATTTATAACCACATTCTTGGGCCATACAAAATCATCAACTTAAAAATTAGCTTGCTGCCCTAACCGATTTGGCTCAGTGGATAGAGTGTTGGCCTGCGGACTGAGGGGCTCCAGGTTCGAGTCCGGTCAAGGGCATGTACTTTGGTTGCGGGCACATCCCCAGTAGGGTGTGTGCAGTAGGCAGCTGATCAATGTTTCTCTCCCATCGATGTTTCTAACTCTCTATCCCTCTCCCTTCCTCTGTGTAAAAAAAATCAATAAAATATATTTTTAAAAAATTAGCCTGCTATACTTACTTGCTCAAACATTTAATTAACTCACCCCTAGTGCCTTGGCAGGGCCAGAACAAATGATTTCACGGGCCTTATACAGCTTGCGGACTGGATGTTCCTCACCCCTGATCTAGGGGGTCCTAGCCTCTTAGCATGCCTAAGCACCTAGCAGGACTAAACAAAAAATCTTCCTTAGAGAATAATGCCATCATCCTAAACATAAAAATATTCCTCCAAATTATTTTTCAAACATTAATATAATGACTAAACAGTCAAAATAACCAAACTCACAAGATACCATGAGTAAGAATCAACAGAAATAACAAATGAAAGAAACCCGCCCTCAAAAGATATGAATTTTATTTAAATATGTTTTAATTGATTTTAGAGAGAAAGGATGGGAGAGGGGGAGAGAGAGAAAAATATCAATGAAAGAGAAACATCAACATTGACTGGTTGCCTCCTGCAGGCCCCCTACTGGGGATCGAAACCACAACCCTGGCATGTGCCCTGACCAGCAATCGAACTGGCAACCTCTTGGTGCATTGGTCGACAATCAATCCTTGAGCCACATCAGCTGGGCAAAATTTTAGAATTATAAGAGTCTATTAAATAACTGAATTTATTGTTTTCAAAGGGATATAAAAACAAAGATTTCAGCTGAGAACTGAAAACTATGAAAGACAATTTAGTAAGTTTGAAGAATAAAATAGAAATTCTATAACTGGAAAACACAATAAAATAATTAAATAAACTTGGCATAGCTGAAGAGAGAACTGGGGAACCGAATGAGCAAGTACATTAGTATCACCCAAAATGGAGCCCAGAAAAATAAAATAAGGAAACACACAGAAAAGAGCCTAAGACAACTAGAAGATACTGTGAAAAGGTCTACGTATGTACACTCCGTTCCCAAGAGAAGAGAAAAATAGGCAATAGCAATATCTAAAGATTAAGGCTAAGAATTTTCCAGAACTGATTAACGATGTCAATCCACAGATTACAAAGCCCAACAAGTCTTAAACAAGATAAATAAAAAAGAAACTCATATTCACAAATATTATTGTGAAACTGTGGAAAACCAAAGACAAAGAAGAAATCTTAAAAGCATTCAAAGTAAAAAGATTTCCTTAAAAAAGACATGTATTGCCTGGCTGGTGTGGCTCAGTGGTTGAGCATCAAACTATGAACCTGGAGGTCACTGTTCAATTCCTGGTCAGGGCATGTACCCAGATTGCGGGCTCAGTCTCCAACTGGGGGATGGGGGGGAGGCAGCCGATCAATGATTCTCTCTCATCACTGATGTTCCTATCTCTCTCTTCCTTATCCTTACTCTCTAAAATTAAGTGTGCTCAGAGAAAATAACTACCAACACAGAACTGTATACTCAGCAAAAATATCCTTCAAGAAAAAAGTTAATCAGACAGAAAAAGACA